TTCCTGCTTCTTCCAGTGTGCAACTTTCCAGCTACATCTCCAATCAGCTCCTGAGGACGAGATGAGGATTTCTACCAGTATAACTGTATTCTAAGCAGAAGACTCTGCATGAGCAAACCTCCTCCATGCCTGGAAGGGACTAGGATCCTGTGAGTAGCCATGGGATCTCTTCTGGGGAAGGGCAGGTTTGGGTTCTGTGCTTGTACAGTGCCACTTCCACAAAATGGGGCTTGGAGACACTTAGTTGTGCACCTGAGGTTTCAGTGCCACAAAGTGTAAAGGAATTTCACAGTGGGACAGAGGCACGTGTCCTTAACATCAGGCAGATCTAGCTACAGAGGAACAGGAACAAGAGATTAGAAGACACAAACCTTTAGTCTGCGTTCGTTGGCAGTGTGGATATCCTCATCACTTTGTTTCAACCCAAAGACTCCTTTGGACCATTCCTCAGAGATCTACAAACATCAGCAGAAACACCAGTCAGGCAAGATGCTGCCATGCTGTCAGGTAAGGAGCCTTTCACTCCAGCACATATGAGTTTGTGAAGGAAAGAAATACCTTTTCCAGGCCACTCAGGATCTTCTCCAGCTCAGTTTTAGATAGGATTCCAGCCTTCTCCAAGGCTTTGGCATAAGCCATGCTCCCCTGGATATCAACCTCAGACAGTCTCTGATCATAGTTAATGGAAGCATTGAGCATCTCCATGATTGGATCTGTGCTTCCACTGAACCTTCCTCCCCACAGTTTGTCCCCCTGAGAGAGAAAGAAGCAAATTAAAGAGGCCTCATAACTTCAGTTGAGGTTAAATGCACTCTATCCAATCTAGAGGCCATGCTCAGCTATGTCCTTTCAGTGTGGCAGCACTGACCAGAAAAGCCCTTGGACTTCAGGACCTTTGCCAAGTAGTTGAAGAGGTGAAGATCATCTCATTGTCAGCAACATTTATGCCTGAGCTGTGATGTCCAGCTCAGGAACCCTCCAAGATACTTTACCTCTGCAGGACTCTGCAGGGAGTCCTTGAAATTAATATCAGGGCACATGGTGCAAGACCAGCATGGATTTCTCTTTTGAGGCAGCTGCACATCAACAACCTTTTGAGAGCCTTTTAGAGGGGGGAAAAAGTAAAGCAGTCAGTAAGGAATGCAGTGAAAGTTAGTATCCCCCAAGTCCTTTCTGTGCTGCTTAGCTAGCAGATTGTTCTTTGACTGACAGAGCTGTGGACCAGCACCAGCCACATTATGAAGGGTTTGAAGTCACCATTTGAAGACTCTCCAGTCCATGGTGTGCTTGCTTTGTTGTTAAATTATCATTAAACTGGTTAATGTGCAGATGGCAGAAAGGGAGGTCTGGGTTCAGGAATGTTCAGAAAAATAAATCAACAAAAAGGTCTTAAAATACATCGAAACAAAAGGGGTTTTTTCCCACCCAAATCAGGATTGATTTTTGTGACCTCACACACTTAAATGTGGCACCTACATAACTACTTCACTGGGTGACCAAAGACAGGTGCACAGTTCCAGCTGTGCATCACAGCAGGGTGTGTGTAAGCTTCTTCCAGCAGTGATTCAGCACCTGGATGGACTCACTAGCTGAGTGAGTGACACACTGACATGTGTGTCCCTTGTTCAGAAGCTTTTTGCTTGCCCCAGACACCCCCTAAAGCCCTAACTCTGCCAGATTGCACTGAAGTGGATAAGAATTTTACTTGTGCAGAGACATTGCAGCTTATCCAAGATTTCAAAATCAACTCTCCAGCACCAACAGGCACAAAAAATCAATTGGAGGACATGTAAAGGAAAGGCCTAAACACAATGATATTGCAGAGTGGATAATAAGTACTAATCTACTTGATTTTTTTAAACCCTGTGAAGTTTCTTATGCTCACTCTAACTACCATGGACAGCAAATTGCTGGCAGGACAGTTGTAAACTGATCTGTGCCAGGGCTTTACCACTCAGACAAAGCACTGTTGGGTAACCTTAGAAACTTTTTTCCTGGTGACTGTGCCCATGTCAATGCCAATCCCTGCTGAAACAACGTGTCTGAGCGGGCAGCAGGAGAGAGCCTACAGAGCTAAGAGTGTAGCCGTGGGATTTTAAGGCAGCTTTGTCAGAAAGCTGAGGGAGGGCAGAGAAGGGCAATCAGAATTGAAAAAGAAAAGTGTTAGAGGTCCTCAAGATGCACCCAGTGCCCATAGGAGCATGGCACAGGGGATGCTAACTTAAAGGCCACTCCAGAGGATAAATGCTTGACTGAGGAACAGGAAGATATTAAGTATTAGGGGTTTCCATCAAAGTAAGAAGTTGGTCAGTAGAAACATTGCAACATATACGTTTGCAATCAGGAAATCCAAACTGAAAGATTCATTTCAGGCAGTTCCAGGACTCTGGTTGGAGCAGTGGCTGTACAGCCTGGCAGCTCCTGGGCACTGCCTGCAAGTGGAGTGGAGGAGCCCAGGGCTGGAGCAGCCGTTTGGAAGGCAGAAAGTGTGACTTGCCAAGACGACTGGTCACGTCTCAGCAGGGCAGGAAACCGAAAATGCAGCTTTTGTCCCGAGGAGTGTTTACACAAGCTGCTGGGAAATGCCTCGTGCCTAAACACAAGTCGCCAGGCACGAACCGCATGGGTGATTGGCCTTGCCCAGGGAGAAGGAAGAACGTGGAGGCTCTGGCAGCTGTTTGGCTGAGGACTTACAGTTTAACTCGGCTGAGCACCCCCCACACAACCCCCCGGAGAAGCAAAGTTCACCCTCACCTCGGCTGCCATCGCGGGCGGCGTTTGGTTCGGGAGCGCAGCGCGACGATCCCGCAGCTGGAGCGAGCCGC